TTGGTTTTCTTTTCATTCAAACACAGCTTCATCTTATTAGTGAGAAGGATGAGGAGTCAGCAAGTAGACTTGTCACAGATCGCTTTGGGTTATGAAGAAGTCTTTCGACCTCGACCCCGATTCTCTGCTAAGTGCATTAAACTTGTGTCTGCTTGAACTGTGAGTGCCTGTATGAGCCAGGACCTGGATAACTCCGACACCGTCAGGGTTAGAGGTTGGATCTCTATTGGTGGTTTTTAACCTATAAAGGCAGCAGAGGAGATGAAAAATGGCCTGCGGTACACCTACAGGAATATTATGGTTGAGCAAGTACTCGGCTGAATTCAGATGATAATAACAAAGGAAAATGTGTCAATATCTGTGCAGCAACTTTCACTCTTACTATTGTGATAAAACAAATTGCTCTGGAGCTCCATTATGAGGCTGTTCTGTAAGTAATTTTCTGATAAATACAGCAACTTCTGATCAACCCATATCAATTTCAGACTTAAATAAAGTTTAATCTTCCCCATTCTGAGTATGTATGAATTGGTTGAACGGATAATAATAATAATGTACTCGCTCATCTCTAATGAATATGATTTTATGTACCTGAACTAACACTTTGCTTTATTTATTTGAATTTTATTCATTTTTATATCTTATTGCCTTTACAGATATCATCAATGTTACACTTACGATTTACTTTACGTCCTGTATGTCACAACTATAGTTAGCACTTACTTAAAGGTTCAGTAATTAACATTCAGGAGGATCAATTGAATGGAATATAATATTCATAGGTATGTTTTCATTAGTGTTTAATCACTAAAATAAGAGTTGTTGTATTTTTGTTACCTTAGAATGAGACGGTTTTATCTACAGAGGGAGCGGGTCCTCATCTGGCAGAGTCCACCATGTTGAACCGCCATGTTTCTACAGTGGCCCAGAGTGGACAAACCAAACACTGGCTGTAGATTGGGCCTTTTGTGTTTTTCTCAAGTTTCACAGCCACTGTAGTTTCTCCTACACTTCGCAGCCTGATCTCATCCCCTCGGTTGTCAAATACAGACGCGAGCTGTGTTCAGTTGGTTGCGGTCTAAGACTTCACAGCTAGATGGCGCTAAATCCCACACACTGGTGCTTTAAGATGAAAAAAAAAAACACATGATCAACTTAACTTTGACGCGTTGTATAAAATAACTCAACCTCAACCAGTTATATTACAGTAAAATGATGCTTAAAGTTTAATAAAACAAAATAAATATTACATGAACAGTCTGTAATAAAACTATTCTGGTTAATAAGTGTTGTTTTATTTTGATACTTATGTACATTTTGTTGCTAATACTGCAGTACTTTGATTTGAATGCCACATGCAGTCATACTTAGTCTGAGGTTAGTACAACAGTACTACGAGCTTCTTTTAAACACATTCTTATTTACTATTAAATTTTAAATCCTTGTTATTTTCACGGCTTTTCTCTTAGCTTCTTAGTTTACACACAGACACAGTATATGCAGGCGAGCTAGGAGGGGTTTCAGGGCATCAAAGCATCAAAGTAGATATACGTTTTTAGGCAATTATTTCACAACTTCTATTGTATATATTGTAACTTCTATAATACTGAGGTCCTGTACTGATGCTACTTAGCACTGGTGAGCACCGATCCATTTCAGGCACTGATAAAGACATTGATATTGACCTTGACATTAACAGTGAACTAACCCTAAAACTGAAGAAGAGGAGGTCGGAGAGGAACAGCTGACACCTTTCCACATCTCCTGTTAAGTTTTTGTCTAGGCTACCAAAAAGTGTGAGATTTCTGTCAAGTGATTGTTTTTGAATGGTGAAATATAAAACAAGCTTTGATGTGCTCATGTATATTATATTGTGATTGGCTTTAAGGTTACCTCTGTCCATAGTGGAGTGCTCACAGTTGCTTGGTTTATGTGCACTACCAGGTAAAGTCATAATTTATCATTTTATATATCTCTGCATGTTACTGTTTTTTACTTTATTGAAGTTTTTGTGCAACTGATAATAAAAAAAAATGTTCCCTTCATCTGATATCAGGTTGCAAATACAAAGATATCTGCAGGAGTCTGGAAAGAGATGTTGGTAAGATGACCTTAATCCTTACTGGTGGTTGAGTGAAATAGTCGTGAACCAACCATATTACCCTCCACAACTAGATCTTATTTGACCTGTTTTTAAAAAACCTGATACCAGTAGATTTGGGAGGATGTAGATTTTAGAGAATCTCATTCAGCAAACTTCTCTGTGTTCGACAACATAATGTAAATTGTGACTGTATAAGATGTTGCACTGATCTGTTAGTTGTCATTTTGTGAATTTACATGAATTGCACTTGAATGTTTTCTAAACCTAAAACAGTACAGCAGTAATGTCCCACAGCAAAATGAGGATTTAGAATCCGTTTGATCTGAGAATATTGATCTTTGTCTCTTCAGCCCATTAGTATGATAATGGTCCCCCTCGTGCAGAATCTGTTAGTGCAGTTAATTTGAATACAAACAGGCTTTCTGTTTTAGTGCTTGAGGTTGAATTAAACATCATCTTGACAGTGAACTTTCCTGTTCTGCTGCTTGTCTAAAAAGCTCTTAATGGACTGTTTGTCAGAATCTATCAGCTCCTTTCGGCACCGACCTTTAAATGTTTTATTTTCAAGTAATAACCCGAAAGCTGGTGAAACTGCTTTTGCCCTCTGAGTTGTGCGTCAACACCAACCTCTTTTAAAACCAGGCCAAAAACTTCTCTGTAAAGCCTTTGAATAGGTTTTATCCTGTTTGTATGAGTGGTATTTGTCTGCAGGAGGGTGAGATCAGTGCTCGAATGCTCTGTATGTACATATTTTATCTTTATGAATTGTATTTTTATGACCTATTTGTTTGTTGTTGTTTGTTACACATGTTTTTTAAATATAATGTTTGGTTCGGTGGCATAAGGTAGTTATGACTGGTTCCAGTGCACACTATCATAAAGCGTTCCTAGCTAACGTACTGCAATGTTTTTTCCCCCAGGGTGACGAAGTCATAACCTTGTTGGCTAGCACTTGTTGCCTTCATTGGGTTGGTTGGTTAGGTTTATTAGGCATGAGGAATGAGATTGGTTAAGGTTAGGGTGGGAATGTCAGGGTACGCCAGTTGGAGGCAGAGTAGGGTGGGGCCATGTTATGACTTCGCCATCCAAGGGAGAAAAAAAATCGTACATTGTATCGTCTTGTCACATGATCAATAGACATTGGACAACATTAATCTTGATAAAAAGATATCTGCATGTAAATTCAGAATCGGTAAACAAGGGACCAAGAGAGTGTCCCCTCCAGACTTTATGGACTTTTACATTTAATATTTCTTATTCTTACATTATAATTTATTCCCTGAAAGCTTATGAGCACATGGCAGTGTCTCTATCTCTAATTAATCTAGAAGAAAAAAAATACAGGACAGAATTGTGGGAGAATTAATTTTCTAGATTTGTCTATTAAATGAACTCCTTGATTGGCTGGGAAAAAAAATATGTTATTCAGTTTAGTTTCCTGCTCTGATGGAAAACTCTAAAAATACAGTGAATCAAAAAATGAAAAACCAAGTGACCCAAGGGTAGACATTTGGAAACATGGTCTATTGTCAATGAATAAATTAGGAGCAGGAGCACAATCATACTGAAGAGCTTTAGAGGTGTGTTTTTTTTTCTTCTTTCCTCTTCAACCTGTAACCTTTCTTTTCACTCAGGCAGACTAAAATGTCAAATCTGCCGGGGCGTCGGAGCCACAGGCAGCCGCTGCTTTACTGGTAAACACACAGACAACTAAAAGCAGGTTTTCTTTTGGCGAGCACTGAAAGGTTAGACTGATAACGCAGGTCATGTGGGGGGGAGGAGGTCCATCCACTACACATCAGACCAAAAAAATGTCCACATCGAGCATTTTAAAGTGTCTAAAAAGTCTTGATTTCTCATTTTAACTGTGTGAAAGGTGAATAAACTGTTTTTACTGCACAAGAAATCAAAATGAGCTCATATGAGGAACCCAGTGTTGTCTAATAAAGGCTTTAGTAATGACATTTTACTGTTTTATTTAGTCTTTTATTCACTTTATCTGCAATTTATCATGTTAAAAAGAACTAAATGCTTCAATATATATGATGTGATGAACCAGAAACTTGACTTTAACCCTCCAGATGTATCATCAATAAGCATATAAACATATTAAACTAAATATAACTAAATAATATAACTAAACTATAGTGTTTATAACACATTATAATGTACTTATAAGGACATTGTAAAGTGTTTATTAATGTATATGTACAGTATACACTGTACTACTACACTGGTAGTAATATGGCTGAATGTCCATGTAGTTGCATACATTATAGTGTGTTATGAACCATGAATTATATATTTATATACTACTTAATACGTTATAAGTAAGAGTGATCCCATAAGAACACTTTATTATAATGTCATTCATTATTTCTTTATAGCACATCCAGCTGTTAAAGTTAACATCAATAAAAACTTATATATCAGATATATAAAGACCTTATATATCAGCTTACAACTACATTATATTGTGCTATAAACCCTATTAAATAAAACCACCATAATGCACTTAAATGGCAACTTACTGAATCAGGCTATATTTGTCTTTATTGCTCCTCATTCTTACATTTCCACTCACTAAAACTGCCAAAATTCAGCTTTCTCTGAACATTTTATGATATATCATGATTGACTTGACCTCCAACGTGCAGCTGGATTAGTTATGAATTTAATATGGATGGAAATGCTCTGTTGTTTACACGGTAAATGTCATCTCATATCCTGAATGAAATGGAGAGATTTGATGGTCGAATGGTATTTTATCCGTGATTAAGGTGGGCTGAGTGTTTTTATAGCTTTAAAAAAACAACCCCAGATCAGTCCATATTTGAGAATGTTTTAATATCCACGTTATGCATTACACGTACACAATCACAACAAACCCCCCCTGGATGTTTGACTGTCCTGGATATTTACACTGGCTTCACATTTGTACAAACCTCCTCTAATAAAGGTGTTATTCTACTTGACAACGCAGCAAGTACTGCAGGCAAGAACAAATATTCAAAATAGATAGTAGAAACATGTGTAACATCAAAACATGAGAGTGTACAAGTTTATTTTTTATACATCTAATCAAAACTCACGACAGCAAACAGGCCACTACAGCCGTTCAACGAGGGTCAGCACTGCGGGTCAAACGGACTACAAACCAGCTGAGAACGAGATGAACTCTTCTGATTTTAAAAAGAAAAAAAAGACACTTTAACATCTGATTCTACAACATTTTCTCCTCTCTCTCCCACGGAACCGGATCCTGCTCGTCCTCGACGTGCGTATTCCTGCGCCCTGTCCAAAAGTGCTCCACATCTGGGAAGGTCTTCTCCTTCTCCGGTGAGACCGCGTTGGCCACGGCGTTGGCTCCGAGTTCTGCTCCGTTGTCCTCCGTTTTGGGACACTTGTCGCTGGGGAGTTGCTTTGAGCCTCTGCAGCTCGCGATGAGCCAGATGGCGATCAATCCCTGGCGCACGTCGTCGTACATGGTCATCAGGATCACCGGAGAGAGGGAGCTGCATGCGTAAAGGAGGACTTGCGCGAAGATGATCAACCCCACAGGAGGTTTGTTGTAGCCGAGCCTGATCCAGGTGAATGTCCCCCACTCTGGCAGCAGCATGAGCCCGAGGGCGCCGCTTAGACACAGCAGAACCAGGGTAACCTTGCTCTGGTGGTGCGGGCTGGGTGCGTGATTCACCGCAGAGTGCAGCGTTTTTGTGTAGTAGGCAAGTGTGAAGGAGATCGGCACCACGAAGGTTGCGGTTGGATAAATCTTGTAGAACAAACTCATGAAGTCAGACGCGCACACTGGCATTTGAGAGACGCAAATAGTGTCGCTGCCATGCGGCACCAAAGAGGCGAAAAGCATCTGGGGAATCGGAAACATCATGGACACAATCCAAATGAACGCCAGGGCTCCGTGAATCCACGTCGGGCTGTAGAGGGGCCCCGTGGCGGTGCCGGGAACAAACGTGTGTTTGGCTCTTGTGGTCGCCGCGAGGATTAAAGTTTTTGCAACCACACACGAGTGCTGGAACCAGTCCGTGGTGCTGCAGACAAAACTCCCCAAGGTCCAGGTCTGCCTGTAGTAGGTGACGGCGCGCACCGGGGCGCACAGCAGCAGGATCACCAAGTCCGTGGACGCCAGAGAGGCGAGGAGAGCTTTCACCTCGGAGCCTTTCCCGTTCCTAAAGTCACGGATGAAAATGAGCAGAACGAGCAAATTCCCAACCGCTCCGGACACGCAGATCCCGATCAGGATGACAGGCATGGCCGTCCTGGTGTCCTCCCCCTGGAGAAGTTGAACTCCTCCAACAAAATCAAAAAAGGAGACATTTGTCGGTCGATCAATATCCATCTCTTCCCCTCTGTGACTTTAAAGTTAAAGCTCCTTAAAGTGGAAAAACAAAAAAACAAAAAAACTGCAGTCAATAAATGAGTTTTCTTCTGGGTCGAGTTCCACTTTCCTCCTCAGATTTGAACGTCCTGAAAGGGAGAAACCAGACGGAGGAGCTGTCCAGCGCGCCGCGGTAGCTGAAACGCTCTTAATGGGGTCGTGATCGCATCAGCAAGTGGGTGCGCAGGCTGGCAGGTAGGCTATTTCAAGTGCTGCCATTTAGCATCGTCAACCACTCACGTCATTTTATCAGTGTGGCTCCGGGCTGCAGGCAGCCCAAATGTGAGCGCAGCGTGATGTGATTTACATTTAATCACTGCCGACGTGGCGAGTCAGAAACATGGCAACAGACACAAATTCTGTTTGGATTAAAAACACAAATGTGACATAGAAAAACAGGCAACTTTCACTGGAATCACTGAGAAATAGATGGCAGCTATATAAAATGTTTAGATAGTAATCAATACTGGCTAAAAAACATACCCTTAATCATCATGTGAGGAATAAACAACATTTAGTCGAAACTTTGGTCTACTTATGATACAATTCAGTATTTCTGGTTTTAGTCTGTCCATATAAAAACATTTAAAGGTGCTTTAGATTACATTTAAAGTGACACAATGGCAAAAAGTGGCTTTAATCTGATGTTATTTGCTCATATGTGACCTTTTTCATGACAGTGTGAACAGCACAAACCACATTGAATATGATCTTTTCAGTTCAATTTTCTTTTCTCGTTCAAATAAGATTCAGGTCAGACTTTTTCTGCAATTTGAACAATCATATCAGAATTCATGTGACTTTTATCTCGATTCTCATTCGTCCTGCGGGTCACTACAGGACCGTGAGTTGTTCACTGGGCCACATTTAAAGAATCTAAACACCCAAACAGAAATAAAAACCAACCCAGATATGAGCAATAAATCAGAATTGAGTGCAAATGCTTGCAGCATGAACGCTCATAAATTAAATGTTGAACTCATGCCTGTGTGACAAGATTGGCTATTTTTATATTCTCAATGCCTGCCACCCAGTTTTGTCCACAGGGGCCGCCAGAATCACCACAAAATGAAAAGTTACTCGAAGTGGGTTTTAGTTACTGTTTGGTTCAATGACTTTATTAAGAATTGTGGTGAGAAAACTTTGTTGGTGCCAACTGTGCACAGACTGTAGTTTACCCACATTGATTGATACAGTTGATCTAAACAAAGATGAATAAACACATTTTAAAGAGGTGGAGTTTACTTGGGTTTACGACGACTTTCATAATAAGTCTGTTACAACTTCTTTATAGATCAGTAATAAGAAGAATCTGCAGATAAATCAGTATTTGAGGCTGTTTAATTGTCTCCGTTACGTATTTTGTTCATTTTTTGGTTATATTTTCATACATATCTCGAAAACACTTCTTCGACAGCTCACTTTAATGGAACCTTGTACAAATGTTTTGTTTAAAAATGAATAAATGACTGCCAGAAGATATAATGTTATCAGACTTTATAGAGTATTTGTAACATTTCAACTGTTTTGCTCTGTCTGTAGATGTTTAAGAGATTATCAATAAAGTATATGGGACAGTTCTTTACCATAACCGAGATGTTTTTGTGCCTGAACATGAACCAAAATGCAACCACAGTGGTGTAATATCAGAACACTATTGTTGATTGTTGAGTCAATATCTAAGAAAGCCTTCATGTTTAAAGCTCCCTCCGATTGGAAAACCTGTAAACATTCGGTTCATCTCATCTCACCACCTGTTTAAAAATGCCCTGTCTTCTTATTATAGGATCAATTGTGCACGTCCATAATTACAATATTAGAGGTTGTAACTCTATTACTTAATGCTTTTACTGACATTAATAAAAAGACTCTAAACTATGAATTAAAGTGCTAATCTTAGAGAACGATCCTCTGGTTTTGTCTTGATATTTACTGGATTTTTATTATTTTGTTTTTTGTGTTTGTGTCTGTATGTTTTTGTATGTTCTCGTCACATTTGGTTTAATTAAACTGTTATCTTTCTTAAATGTGTAATTGTGTAACTTTTTGAAACGAGATGGTCTCAATGGGTTATTCCTAAAAAGGATTTACAATATAATAAACATCCCAATGAGGTGTTACAGACTATTAACAACTTAGTAGACATTTACACTTCCAGACTTGATTGTTTTATGTAAAAAAAACATTAAAAATGAATGCTTTATATATACATTTCTATATTTACTGCCGACCGGATAGCTTACCAGAAAGTGAGAAACCAATTTGAGTATTTATTAATGGAACACCAACATTTATGACCAAATCCAAATTTTTCCCTCCCAATATACAGAGTATCTGCTGAAAGAGATCTTGTTACCAGTTCTCTCTGTTGCACCTCATTAGGATCATTCACATGTAAAGTAATAGGAAACCAGGGATTGTTGTGGCACTAAAAAGTAAGTTAGCAGCCAACTATGACCCAATGAATGTAACTGATATCTCACGTGGATTACATTATGGCCGAAAACCCAATTAATAAGTTCAGCATCAAGGTCACAAATAAATATGAATGAACCACATTATGAACTGTTTTACTAGAGTGTAGACACACAGTGATTCATTGATTAAAAAACAATCCAAACTCATTATCTGACTATTACAGTGACCCTAAAGCGGAAGTGCATGAAGCAGACTGCACCACAGAGTGAGGTGTTGACTTGAAGAGCATCGGGATGATGAAGGGGAGAGAGGGTGAGCATTGTGGTGGTGGTGTTGGTGGTGGGGGGACGGGTTGTATGTGGAGAGGTGAGGGTGCCCACTCAAATGCTGTCACCTCCTCTAAGAGGGCTGGTTGCTAGGAGACCAGAGCCACCATCACAGTATGGGGTTAGGAAGATGTGAGGCAACATGAAGTAGTGTGAGATATGGACGGATAGAGAGGCTTTGAAGCGACTCTGGAACTTCAGATCCACAGTAATGAATGGTTACATAGTGTCATTGCCGTGGGGGGAAGAAAAAGGGCTTTGGTGGTATTTAGAGGGATGATATAATAGCACAAGCAGGAGTGCTGCCCTCACAACGCGCAGTAATCAGGGATAATTGATATGTTAGGACTGTGCAGGGCTAAGAATACAAGTAGACTCTCAGCTCCCACTGATTTCGCTTCTGGAAAACTATCAGTGTAACATGAATGTTACAAATCTGCATTTCTTTACTCCAAGATGCACTCATATTTATACTCCAACGTGTGTATAACACTTGTCATGGACAGATGCAGCCTCATTTAACAAGATTAAAAATAAAGTTAAGCTGAAAGCAATAATGGAAATAGGCAGTAAGTCAGAAGTTTTATTTCAATTTCATAAAACGTTAAAAACAATGACATTGTGGGATTAATCCAAATTAAAAACCAGATTAAAAATATATGGCTTTCTGTTTAATAAGAGTCTACAGCCATGTTTTGAGCTTAAAGGTCCAGTGTGTAACATTTCGGAGGATCTATTGGCAGAAATCTGTTTGTTTTCAGTTTGTTTTCATTAACGTGTAATATATAACCTAAAAATAACAATCATTGTGATTTTGTTTCCTTAGAATTAGCCGTTTTTATCTAAGGACCTTTTCTACAGAGTCTGTCATGAATGAACAAACCATTTTTTTTGCAAGTTTCACAGCCACCGTAGTTTCTCCTACATGAGTGGAAGACGACAAAATAAAATTAAAATATAAGATATACAGTTGTGTATCAAATGCATAAGAGTGATATATGACACTATAGCAGGTGATAATATTGCCCAAATGTAGCATGTAAACACAAAATAGAATGGGCCCAGTATGCTCCCTTGAGGAACTCCACAATCGCTATCAAATGTGACACAAGACCTGCTCTTGTCTCGTCTTTACATACTGTTGTATGAATAATAGTGTCAAATGCACGGGATCTAAAAGACTAAGGACAGCCACTCTAAGGGAACACACATACATTTGTGCTTCAGTTATGGTTAGTCCCACCACTTTAGTCTGAAACAGCTTAACAACTGTTTCAAGGATGACTTTGACATTTCAACACCACCATGAGGTCTGCATCTGGTTTGTCGAGTGAAACAACAACTCAACTCAGCAACTACTGGATGGATTGCAGTGGAATTTGCAATTCATGTCCCCTTCAGGATGAACTGTAACAACTTAAGTGATCCCCTGACTTTTCATCCAGCACCATTTATCACACTTTTTACTAAATGAATTCATGTGACACAGTTGTACTTTAACAATGCAGACACACTAAACTGAGATGGTGAACATGGAAAACATTATACCAGCATAACAATTTGACATTGCATGCTAGCATTAGCATATAGCTCAAAGCAGTGCTTTGCAAACACATCCTCAGAGAGCTGCTAGCACCGGCTGTAGACTCTTGTTCTGATATACTGTGGGTGTGAATTAATGAAACAAATCACACAAAAAAAACTTAGGAGGAAAATTACTTGAAAGAAGATCTTGTGCTCATGAGGTTTTATTGTTCTGTCAGTCATGATTGCTTTTATCCTTTCAAAAGGTGCATTAATGTGCTGTCATTTTCGACTCTGCATAATTTGAAAAGTCTCATCTTGGAACAAAACTGTTTCTCAGCAGGGCCTTGCAAGGATGAAAGACTTTTTGAATCGTACGAGCGCCTACGTGCAGTGTCTGGTACTCAGACTGTAACTGTCGGTCTTTTTCTTGGGAAACAACTGAGATACAAGAGCAAATGCCTGTGAATTTTTTTTTCCTTTTTCATCTCTGAATCCACCACTCCAGTCTCGACCAAATCAGTATTGTGCGAGAGTTGGATCCCTCACATTCCCCTCAAGGCTTTTACAAAGCTGGAGAAGGACAAAGTAACAGTAAAAGAAAATGATGGAGAGGAGGAGGGGAGAGCGGGAACAGAAAAAAAATGAGTTTCGGTAAGAGTCTAAATGAACCGCAGTAATGTTCCCTTTGGAGATAGTCCAGAGTAGAAACAAAAATGAAGTACTTTTTCGACCACAGGGATGTCTACCATAAAAAAGCACGACCTTGCCATGATAATTTTTTGTCCTGAATCCCTTGATGCAGAAAAGCTTTTACAGTATCAAAGAAAACAAATGCAGGTTTTTGTCATTAGCGTCATTCAGAGAGATCAAAGGTAAAAAAGAAGGGTCTCCCAAGGTAACCGCACACATAAACCGTGTTGTTATCAGAGCCTCCTGTTATTGATGTTATTGCTCAGAAGTGGGGAAGCGATTAG